GTGCTTCACGGTGTTATAAATCGAGTACTGTATCTCTGATTTCAAAAAGACGCATTTTGGGCCCTGGTAATCTTTGACGACTTTTTGCATTAAGAGTTAATAAAATGTGTTATTCAGGCAGTAACACCAATGCTCTTAAAAGTCACAAAATGAGAACTGGGTTCAATAACACGACATGTGAGTCAGTACATTTTTTATCTTTTCTCTATAAAGAAGGTACACTTTAAAATGACTCTATAAAAGTTTAAAAAGATAAGGCTATTTAGACCACATAAAGAATACTTTTGAGCGGTTCCAATCGTTTTTAGAAATGGGTAAAAAATAAAGCCCATTTTAGAGTATGAAATAATTTATGATTAAAACATAACTAACAGTATTGAAATCCCGCCGATTTTAAAAACCAATGGGACGGAGCTTTCACGTTGAGCTTCACCAAAACACACAACATGACCTATGATAACAGGCCTTATTTAATACGAAGCTTATTGATTATAGGCTTTGAGATCTGCAAAAGCCTAAATAAAAATCAAATAAATTCAACAGATAGATTGATTGACTACATATTAATATACTGTAGTTTAATTTTAGTTCGTTCCCTTGTGATTTGGAACCGTGTCAGATTGTACCAAAATCCCATCGATATTATCAATGGATATGTAGCTAAAGGAGTTGACTTTGAAATATTCCAAGTAAAGTTACATCTCAATGTAAATTTCAAGCCTAATTTTATACACGTTTAATTTTTTTGGCGTTTCAGATCACTGATGTTGACAAAATGTTGCTCTCTTATTTTAGATAGATTTTAGAGTTGCACTTTTCTCTTTCGTACCAGATGATACCAGAGGGTAAGCACATGTTTAAAACTATACCACTTTATTATTCGTTAACAATTGAATTGTAATAAAGTGAATGCCATGAAACATGTAGTTAACATTGAAACTCCCTCTTAATCGTTAATGTATGTGCGGGATACTGAATAGTACATTATTCCGTATCCAGTGCTGTTAGTTATTTTTCTCCACAGTCAGATCTCCCATCCGACGAATCTCTATCTGTCAGCTATCGTAATCGGCAGGCCATTCTAGTGGTCTTTGGTCTTTGTCTAGTGATCGATGTCTATGTCCACAGTCTATGACGGGTCATCTAGTAGCGCTGTCAGGCGTTGGTTCCTTCCTCCGCCGCCACGCCGCGTTACCGTCGCGTTACTAACCACTCCATTGCGTCACCGCAAACGCTCGTTTCGCGCTGTTTTACCTCTGATGACATAAACTGTTCGTGATTGTGGTTGTGACTTTCAATGATGGAGGAATACTGAAGACTTTCAACAAATTCTGCAGGAGCCAATACAGATCTTGTAGCAACAAATTATAAATGCATTTTTTACCGAAATGTTAGTCAAGATGGTATTATAAATATAATTAGTTACAGCTTTCATCTGAAGGCCATTTATTTTTTGAAGTTCAAGTTATGTTTGTGATAAGAATTGTATAGCCTACAATTTAATGTAATGAAAGTGTCTACTGACTCTGGAACACTTGGTGTGAACACTTATACAAACTCATAGAGGGGTGTCGCTGGGCTGGGCCGTCCAAGGCATGGAGTAGCAAAGTTTTGAGATTACAGATTGGATAAGCTTAGAAATTAAATTACAAATTAATCAATGTACCTCAAAATAAATAATAGCGAAAACATTTAATAGTAGACAAATATTTAAAAAATGGAACAATCACATTTCATTTAATAGAAAATTTGTCAACACATCTCCAGTGTCTCAGCAATTCATTAGCATCATCTACGGCGCTTCATTCGTCTAGTCGGACTTCGACTTGGCTATGTGTACTTGGAGGTGCAAGTTGATGAACTATCTAAAACTTTGAAACTCCATCCCCTTGCTCTGAGACGTGACGTGGCAGATGTGGTGTATCTCCTGAAACTCCTGAACGGTGATGTACGGTGCGCAGTCCTCTTGTCAGAAATGTTCTTCAAAGTACCATCAAGTACCAGAACCAGGTCCCGTGGACTTTTGAGTCCCCGCCACCACTCTACCAACTACGACTAGGTACTACAGTCCTCTGGCTCGCTTTGTAAAACTGGGAAACAAGTAGCTTTGGAGTGCGATGTGCGACCTATTCTTCGACATCAGTCTTTAACGGGTCCGAAAGTGTGCTCTAGAGCTTCTGTCTGGTTGAATCCTACCCAAGTTAGTTATATGAGTCATGTAAAATCTGATTTAAATGCCTTGTTACTGTCTTGTATTGTATTTTGCTTGTTGTAGTATTTATTCTGTTGTAGGCCTATAACTACCAATATGAATATCTCTTGTAATGTCAGTCTTTAACTTTTTATTTTGATTCTTCATGCATATAATATTTTATATTGAGTATTTATTCTGTTGTTATAATTAGTATGATATGATGTCTCTTTGAATGTTAGTCTGTAACTATTTATTCTGCTTGTTCATGCATGTATTATTTTGTAATGAGTCGGATCAGTCAATGCAATCTAAACCTTTTCTAGTCTTTTGTATGTATATTGTGCCATATGAATTGTAATTCTTAAGTATTTATTTTTGCAAACCATCTTGTTTTGATATGTATTGTTTAATGGCATTTGCCGTAGGAATAAATAAATAAAATAAATAAATCTATTTCAGAATCTGAAGGATTGCTTCCTGAAACACAGTCAGGTTTCAGGCAGGGGTTTAATACTTGCTCTTCAGCTCTTCTCAATGTTGTTGACGAGATGGTAGTTGACGAAAAGATAAGGGCCTACAGAGTGTGATGACTTCTCTCAGGCTTTTGATTCGGTATATTCCGAGTTGCTGATTGCAAAGCTGAGGATTTATCAGTTTGACAGCATCTCAGTGAGGTGGTTTTTATCGAACTTGACCGGGCGTACTCAATGTACAAATAAGGTTAATGGACAGCTCTTGTCAGCACTTCCTAGGTTTGTCGGTGTTCCTCAAGGCAGTTGCTTGGGGCCGATTCTATTCCTTAAATACATAGCAGATTTGAAAGATAATTTGGGTCACTGTTCTTTACACTCTTGATTCCCAACAGCTAATTTCTTATAAGCCCTCAGGAACAGCCGAAGCTATTCCTGTAATGACTTCCTGTACTGTATGCCTTCATTGTATCATCAATGATTTAGAGAGTGTAAATAGATGGTCGGATGACCATGATTTGCTATTGAACACCAGTAAGTGTTCAGTCTTGCTTGTAGATAAACTATCTTCTGGTGCCCACTCAGCGAATGGTTGTGTCAAACAGTAAACAGTGTATCTTTGTCGATGGCAAACCACTGATTTCAAATAATATTCTTAAGACTCTCGATTCCCAACTTGATTTTTCTAAAGATGAAGGTTTACGATTTAGGATGCTAATAAAGCTACTTGCTATCAACCTTGTGTTTCTAAAATACCAAATTTTGTTCCAGATTATGATGCTTGTGGCAATGATGCCCAACAAGACACTGAGTAAAAAGTAAGTAGTGTAAGGATATTTAAACAATAAGGTAATCTCTTTATTTAGTTCTAAGACGAAATAAATAAAAATTAATCATAGAAACCAAGCCATAGAAAACAACAAACAAACGGTTTAGAGCTGAAACCTCCTCCTATTTTCTAAGGATCTTTTCTTTTGGGTACACAAAGGTTGTAAAAGGAATTACTAAGTACTTGGTCACTGAATTAAGTTTAATCATTTTGTAAAGGAAGATTCTGTGATAGACCCGTTATTACAGTTATGTAAAACCTAAAATTACAAAGTATAGGTTCTTAGAAAAGGCTAAAAATCACAATGAGTATAAAACTTTATAATTTTTTTTATAATCAATGGTGCTGTTTAACACCCTTATACAAACCCATTGTTTTGTGGCTTGAGAACGAAAATAGATTAAATTGCTTTAATGGAGGTTGTTAGAAGTCCATAAACTAAGAAGGTCTGTTTTGGATTCCCTATAATAAACGTGCAAACCCTTAAACATTACATTAATCCAAAAAATTCTAAATAAAAACTATAATTTTAAATTTGTGTGGATTCCCATGCAGCAATCCTCAATTGACTATGAAAAGTGTACACATATAAGAATGAAGTGTCCTACTGACATGTTGCTTTTTATGTGTTACAGAGTGATCATCTATGTGCCAAACAAATCAAAACACATTCACCATCACGTACACCTCCCTCGTCGTGTACACCACCACTATGTAGGAGGTCCTGTACACCACTTCCATACCAGGTTCTCTCACAGTGCTTCTCATGGTGGATCTCACTTTCATGCTTATTAAGGACTAGTCTCATAACACCATCATGTACACCTCCCTGTTTGTGTACACCACCACTAAATGTGGAGGTCCACTGTAAATGGAACAATGTTTTTATGCAGCAAAATGTTTTCAATAAATTGTAGAACAACAAACTTCCTTATAGCCTTCACTGTGATAAAAAATCAACCACTTTTTCACACAATAACAACTACTTACCTTACCTTACCGCAAACTCAAACTTACCTTACCTTCCTTGGCCGCTCAAACCGAAGAAGGTTTGTGGCCTTCGCCAAGAAGTTTCCTCCACTGCTGTTGATGACAACTACAGTTTTATGTTAAATATTTCATAACAAGACAGTTTTATGTTATTCACTACTTCATTAAATAAAAATTATAAATGGACTTGTGTTTCTTTTCATGTAAATTTTCTGAGTAAAATTGTGTTTTGTTTTAACAATAGCCTATAATTATTGGTGTAAACCTTAATTTTCTGCACAAAAAACAGGAAGAAAAATTCACTTTAATGTATAAAAAAGGATTTCATACAAATATCTTATAGAAGTAGCCTATAACACTCCAAATATTAAACACACAGCCAAATAGTGTTCTTTTCTCACTCTTGTTTGAGGATTATATAGTCTTTTCTTTTATTATTCTCAATAAAATTTAGGTTTAAATTCAAATTCTACTTGATGAAAACCACAAGGATAAATTAATATACCACAACAGATAATATACAAATGTTTCAACTTTATTTGATTTAATGTCATTAACAGTTTATTTGCCAAAGCTTGCGACAGCCATATAGATGACAAATAATACAAATATTAATATTATCAATAATTTATACAGGAATTAATCAAAATGTTTACAAAAAGATGTAAATGGAATCTAAAACAATCATTGTGACATGCTATAAAATAATTTATTTGCTTATATCAAAGTAACATATATAATTATCGTAAAAGTAATTGTGTCAAGGATTAAAACATGCTGAGCAGTGGTACAACCTTGTAATTGGCACAAAGATAGGCTGAAGTGATCCAGTAATGCCTGGATAACTATCAGCAAATAAATCTACTGGTACATAATTTATATAAAAACTAGCGGCTATTTTCCCATAATTTATGTTGTTTTGCTATGCAAATTTAATATGTTTTCAATCACAACCAATTGTACAGATAACTTCATTGCAATTATTCTTTACATACAAACTATTGTTTACAAAACCCTAGACAAACAGAGCTAGTAACAAATTAAAAATGATTTTGTTATATCATATGGAAAACACCATGTTAAATGTAGAATAATTATTCGTAATACATTAGAGTAAATTTTTAATGGAGGGTAAAATATATTGGATGGACAAAAATAAAACCATGTATTTTGCTCAGGCTCTTCATGTTCATAAATAAAAACATACATTACACTAAAATACAACACATTTTCGGTCAAATTTATATTTTGTAAGAAAAAAATACTATTTAGAACTTTTTAAATTTGACTAACAACTCAGGTTGGTACACCTACTTTAATTGATATTATTACTCGACTGTTACATGTTTACTTTAGGAAACTTACGAAAACTCTAAATGTCTCGAACTAAGAATTGGATTTAGAAACAGTTTTTACAACCTGCAAGTGGTCCTAAACGAGCTAAGCTAAGTGACTGTCCTGGGCTCTAAATCGTATATACAAGTTAGTACAAAGAGTATGGCTGGGCCGAGCCCCATGTAAAAAATCGCTCACTCCACTCGTACATACACTGACAAAATAAAATACAATTACAACGGGGAAATCACATTTTTACATCAAAACAGTGTGGTCTACTGGTCACGGCTGCAGCTACGGGCTATGTACAGGGGTTCATGACTAGCCTATGACGGGTAAATCTATTCCATCATCACAGCGGCATCTGGCAGTGTCTTTGATCGTAATTTGCCACCTTAGAAACTAATAACCGAGTGAAAAGTTATTTGTGAATAAACCCTTGAAAAATAAAAACAATAACAAAAATTTACAAAACGAGCAAAAATTGTCGTTCGCTCGAATAAAATCTCGTTTGAACATAGAGCGTCTCTAAATCTAAGCTAACACAGCCATTTCTCACGAACCTGTCGTAAGGACGGGTCGATCGAAACAATATAAACTATAAAGCGAGCTAAACGTAAAAAAATTTCAACAAAAAATAAATTTCCTGTGATGATAGAATACAAATCATTTACAACCTAAGATAATTAATTACACTAATACAATAAAGCGACTATCGGATTCAATCTGTCGAGTCCACTTCATATACAGCAGTACAGCTTTAAACAGAAAAATTGTGCCCTTATTGTAAAAGTTAACTGGGATCGTATCAACATCTGAGTGTCTTTGGGAAACGTTTTGAGTGGATGCTTTCTTAAATCACGAATAAAAACTATTTTACTACAACTACCACCATATGACTGAACAACAAAAAAGGATCAAATACAATAATGAACAGCACTTTTAAAAGTCGTTTGAAAGCATTTTTAAAAAGTATAAAAAGAATATCAAAGAATTTAAAAACTGCAAAGGTACAATTAAAACCAACATAATTGGGATTTATTGATACAGAAAGCTTCCATTCAAAACAGTTTCCTCACCACACTACAGGCCCCTGGTGGGAGAGCAGCTCCTTCACATGTTATACGCTACGTAGATGGGGTCCAGTTGGTCGGCCAGGAAGCCGTCGCGTAAGTGCATCCTCTGCTTCTCTCCCCGTGAGTTGATGGGTACGACGCCAGGGTCCACCACCACAGCCACGCCTACTATCAGGTGATGCTCCTCTAGTACTGCGTTGGTCACCAGTGGTACCAGGTCTAGAGCTTCGCTCTCACTGCCGTCCAGCTCTACCACCACCACCAGCAGGTTGGTCCACGTGAACACAGCGCTGCGACAAACAACACAAACAATCAGACACTCATTGAACTGTCTTAAACTCATACCTGATCAGACAAGGTTGAAAACTGGACTGGACGTTAAGTGAAAGAGAAAAGATGGTTAGCGTGTTCGTTAAAGTACCTGTCCAGTAGTTAAAAGCGTGCTTCAACCTCTGACAAAGCTGTCATAATTCACTTAGCTTTAATTATGTAACAATTCTGGTTAAAAAATCCGTTTGTCTTTGATAGAAACAAAGGTACAAAAAGGTGTACATAAATTGAACATTAATCCATCATCCATGACCCTACTCGAGTAGCATATATTTCAATGAAAGTGACTACACCGATGTAAATACATCTTAGCAGAAACTCTATTTTAGTGAAAGCAAAACTATGTATGTAGGTAAACGACATTGTTAGAAATGCAGTCAATTGATGCACATATAAAATATCTGTATAAGTGATTTAATTTTTATTTTCATTAAGAAACGAGCCTCTTTTAACTTTGCATTTGCCTGTTCACGTAGAATTGTGGGTGGCCTATGCATAAAATCAAGCAAAGCAACCAAAGATAAAACTACTGTACCAGCACAAATACTACAAAGAATATTGGCTATTGGTTATAAAACTATACCAATCACGTTAAAGGCGTTTTCATTATTTTGTTTACTCCTATTAATATTAAGTTACTGACCATTCAGCGATTTTCTTATGACAGCGCATGACACTGTTTTCAATGTCTATGGGGTGATAACGCATCCCTCGCAGCATAATCGTCTCATCCAGGGCTCCAACCACAAACACTGCATCGTGTAGATCTAAAACAACAACTTGGTAATAGAGGTTGGCTTGTTCACTAAATTTATAAAACTCAAATAGGAAACAGTTAGTTTACCGACAATGTATACAATTGGGTATACAGAAATTGCTTGAACATTTTATTAACTTATGTTGGGAAACAAAACTGTAACATATCTACAAATTTGCAATCTGTATTGTGATTAGAGTGACAATTCTGTGGCAAGATTGAATGAAATTTACTGACTCGCGGTTTATAACATTTCTGTTTAAATATCAAAGGAGAAATTGCAATTTTTATTAAATATGACTTTAAGAGCCAAAATTTAATGTCATCATGTTATGCAACATATAATTAATTATTTCAATTCCTACTTTTATAAGTTTGGACATAACTGCCAATGACTTTAATCATGTTCAAATAAAATAATTTTACATTGATAGCTAACTGTCTAGTTACTTGTTAAAGAGATGAAAATTAGATGCACACAAAAGAAAACTCAATACAGTTTTTATAACTTATTTTTAATCTTTTTTTTATACAGTCAACAAATTTAGACAACTAAAAATCAAATAAGTACACTCTTATGTAGTTTTTAAAATTGTAAATCAAAACTCTCACAGTTGCAAAGCAGCCTACATTTTTGTTTAATCATAGGAAATGTGCATTGTAGAGTTAGTGAAATTAGTGAGTAAAAAGTAAATTCTAAGTAGAATTTGCTCTATTGATGAGTTAGTAGAAATCCAAAATGTTTGTGATCCATACAGACTACAATAGACCCTCTCTTAACAGCACCTCAAGCTGCAAAGTAAAAATATTGCATCATATTTTTACTATCAATAACCGACTATCTGAAAAATTAACTAGTCAAACATCCCTAATCCCCAATTATGTTGGGTAATCAACGCTTTACAGTAATCCAACCACACTGATTATTACAGCATTTATTAATTAATTTACACAATTACTATTGCAATATATTTCTCACATGATCAATTATGTATCAACAAATTGTAAAATTGACTTGAAAAAAGCCAGGTTCATAAAAAAATTAGACCTACACGGACTTGATTCTATCACATTGTTCTACATGCCTGGAAAAGGTCAGTCAAACCAGCTGGTTTTACAATTTTAGTCATAGAAACCATCCTCTAGTTTTTCCTGGGTAGAGAATAATCAAGAGTCTGTTAAGAGAGGGTCTACTGTAATAACAAAGTGTTAATGATACAACAATGATAACATGTATGAGTGAAGCATGCACACAATGACAGAAATGAATGATTTTCCCACACACCGGACTGTTCCTGCTCACCAGACGTGTCTTGTGGTGGGGGGTTGATGGTGAGAGCTGACAGGTCGCTGATGTCCGTCGCCTCAGAGGCCATCCCCGGCGCAGTCTGTCCTGCCACCGACTCTGTACGCCGCAGGAACCCTAGGTAGCCTGTACGAGCGTACACCTCGCCTGTGCTGCCCGTAACTAGGCGAGCGTTGAAGTGTTCCCCGTACTCGCTCTCTTCTCCGTAGATAGAAAAGTAGCCGCTGGCGTTGTGCGGACATTGCACCCAGATCTACAAGCACACAGGGTAAAGATAAGTCATTGTTATTTAAGGCTTAATTTTAAAAATTTAACTGACTCAATAAGTACAAATTCCAATATGAACGAAGTAGTCATTGACATTGAAATTGCTGCATCCAAATATCATAATTGAAATTGATTACAGTCAACAAGTAAATTCTTATAGCAAATTTCCCATAAAGAGAATATACTATTACCGTGGGGCTTAACTATTTGATCTCCAGGACTGATTTACTTTTTTGTTTTGAGGTGCCCAGAGGCTGGAAACAGCAACTGTTCAAATGAATATGGAATATATGTGCCTGTTAGCACTCAAGCCGAAATCATCCAATTTTGATGAAATTTTGTACAAACCTAACCAGTTGTTATTTTATATCAGCTTCCACAGTTATTTTTAGATACTTCCCCATTTGAGAATTGGATGGATCCATTTTCCCTGGTCATAAAGAGATTTACGATTAAACAAATAAAAAATAATAATTATTACTAAATGATATTAAGTTACTGCCTTGTATTGAACATACCTCTCCCAGATGGGAGTCCCCACATTGTCCCTTGGTGTCTGGGTTGGCTATGATGACCTTGACTCCAGGCAGAAGCTTGCCTGACTCCAGCAGACACAGAGAGTGTGGACTTCCCCTCTCTACTAGTGACACTCGGTCATTGCGCAGCGCACGCAGGTCTACGTACACACAAGATGGTTCCGGGCTTGACGCTCCCTACACAACACAACCAGGTCAGCATGGGTTATGGTACAATTACCGAATGTCATTAATTCAGTTGTATAATAAATGCACAACAACAAACAACAAACTAACTTGTCTCAGACAAAAACATATTACTAAATACTGACATTCTGTATGGTATGATCAGGTTTAAGGTTTCTATTAGTTTCTATATTAATTATTATTTGAATATTAATCAGTATTCAGACACTGAAATGTTGAAAAACATTTTTTACTTCTAATGATTTCGGACCATAAGGTGACAATTTTTCCTTCAAGTAAAAAAATCTCGTACATAGACCCCCAGTTATAACAAAAAAGTTGAATAGTGTGGTTAACTACAAAACAACGCTTTCCATTCAAATCACCCTAAAGTTAATGACGGATATAAAAGATACATGACAGTACCTGAAGGCAAATAGCGACGTTGACACGGCAGCCGAAGCTGGTAGAGACAGCCCGGGGACTGAGGCCGAGCGCTGAGAACAGTTTAGAGAAGCTTGTGGACAGGTTGATCCTCGGCCTCTCCTCAGCGACCACCACACAGGTACGGACACAAGCTAGGGACACTCCTCGGGACTTGAGCTGCTGTATAGAGGATCCTAGACCCTTGGTGCACAACTCCATCACACCTGCAGCACAGACAGTGGTGTAGGGAAACAGTCTTGCATCTTACAAACTACAATTAGTGAGCTCCCACTACTAAGCTACAGTAATTACTCCCACCACTATTACATGCAATAATAAGTTGGCTCCATCTTTCTGTACCACAGAATAATTACGTACATCAAAGGAGTCACAACGTTTTCTTTATTGTCCGCTAGATTGTTTGACTATTTTACAATATATTTTCCTTTCTATGGAAAAAATGTGATCATAGTTTAATTTGATCCCTTTAGTACTTATATTTTAGACCAAAAGTTAAGTGTCATCAGTCAGATGAATGTAGTAGGGGTACTAACCGTAGGAGCAGAACGTATCCCTCACTCTGTACTGACTGACAGCTGACAACCACAGGGCTGGGTTCACCTCCACCTCCGAGGGGGGGATCAGGATGGAATGGTGACCTGAGTAAACACTGAAACAAACAAACAATCAAATAGTAATATCTTATTTTAAACAAAAACCTTCCTACAAGTTTCAACCTTCCTTTGTTAAAAACACTGTTTGTTACAGTGAAATATTCTAATTTGTGTCTATCGTGTAGCGTTCAACAACCATTCCCTATTATCTGCTGGTACCTTTAGAATAAATTAAAAAAATCCTTAAAATATAAGCATGATGTTACAGCCTTAAATTCTGGATTAACTTACATTTGTAGCTTAAATGTGCAAGCTTAAATTATACTAAATGATAGAGAGAAAAAAACTGATTTAGTTTCACCATATTACATTGAATTGCCACATACTTAGAATATTGCATTAGACACTTCCCCCATTGTAAAATTTGAACACTTTTTTGTGTCATGTCTAATAACACTTGAGTGCATTGATATTGAGAAAATTGGAACCTCTTAGTTTAGGGTAAATTTAACTCTTCAGTTACCATTCTGGAGAACGAATAGTTAAAAAAATGTACTCTTCTGTTAGATTGTTGTAATTTATAGGTTAGTGAAATAACAAAATCATAAATGAAAGACACAACACACTCAGGAGTCAACAAACCAGAATCAACTTTCCATAAAATTGTCTGCAGCAGATACTGTAGAGAGATCAATGTAAACGGCAGTAAGATACATTTAATTACCTGCTAAGACACCAGAGCGCAAAGCCGAGGCCGCAGTAAGGGTCGAGACACAACGCGATGTGGCGTGACGGGTACAGTTCACAAGCTAGCTTCATGGATCGACACAGAGATGTCACGGCTGCATGAGACATTTTGATGCCTGCCAGCATTCCGGTGGTTGAAACACTGCAACAGTCACATGATAAGTAACTTTTACACCCCAAGGAATCAGTTATCAGAAAATAAAGAGTTGGCAAAACTAATTAAAAATAAAGAAATATTTCTTCGTAGCTGTATATCTTTAGTGAATTTCTTATTTACCAAGGGTACAAAATAAAAACCTACAATAGTAGAACTAAATGCTTTCTCAAATTCAATCTACAATTTTCTTTGGAAGATGCAAGAAAAAATACCATAACAATGTAAAAATAGGCATTGCAACTAAATGTATCACATCAATCATGATATGGAATAAGTATGAATTTATGTAACTGCAGTTTTACCTGAAGTCCAAGTAAGCCAACATCTCAGCTGTGGGAGCTCTGTACATTGCTGTCAGCTTCTTCTTAGGCATGTCGTCAGTGTCCAGCGTGACAGGCCATGACTTGATATCAACAACATTGCTGGCCTCCTGCAACACAGAATACACGTTCAATAACTTAATTGGTTAAAATGTTAAACCCTTATTTAAAATATATCAAGTAATGTAACTTTTTCTATAAAAATATATAAGTAATTCTATTGCAACATATCTAAATTATGGGAAAGCACACATATTTTCACAAGTGTATCACTTAATTGACTCAACTTTTAGTTAAAATTGCAAATATTTGTGAAACTACTAAATGAGCAATGCAATAACATGAATCCATCTCTTTTTAATTATTTTCCTATCACCTTTCCAAAGGATAACAAACCTTGGACTTGAGCAGTTTGATAACATTCTGGTTGGAGAGGACTAGAACAGACTTGCTGACATCCACGATCATACGGACAGTGGGCAGAGTCGTCTGGAGGTTCTGGGGATGAGGCGGTCGGATCGTCACGGGCACAGCACCTGCGTAACAGAAACAGCATGTGATACAGCAAAACTGTAATATTTATAGTTAATTATCAAGGTATCAAACATCTTTGAGATGTTTTCTATCAAATCAACCAGTGTTTTGGAAAATTGAAGGTACAGTAAAACTCCTTTTAACCACCCCGTTCAACTAGAAGAAAGTTTAATCGAAAACATAATAAAAATTAATGGAAAATTAGCAAGTTAACATAATTTGTGCGCCATGGCTCAAGTAATTTTACCGCCCTGGCCAAGAGAGTATAATGTAGTAGACAATGACATGGTTCTCATACTGTGATAGGGATAAGGATCAGAAACCCAATGCCAAGAAGAAATACATTTTGTGTATGCAGTTGCACATTTTATGACAATAATTTAAATACAAAAATAAATAAACGGTATCAGCATTCTGACACATACTTTCTCCCATAAGTTTGTCAAAAACCTTTATCATATGTATGTGGTGAGAGTAAATATACGCAAATGGGATTTGTACAATTTTGTTAAGAATTTAAAGGACTATAACATGCTAAATTTTTATCAAAATCGTTCGGGCCATTTTTGGGAAAATCCGATTTTTCTGTTATTTTATGGGGGTTTTATGGGAAAATGACATAATTTACAATAACCGTAATTTTTACAGAAATGGGATTTGTACCATTTTGTTCAGAATATAAAGGACTATAACATACTAAATGTTTATCAAAATCGTTCGGGCCATTTTTGGGAAAATCATATGTTTCCGATATTTTATGGGGTTTTATGGGAAAATCCCCATTAAAAATAAAAATTTCTAAAAAATAAAAAAAACTATAAAACTATAAGGACTATAACATACTATGTTAAATCAAAACCGGATTTTTTTCTAAAATCCTATTTTTCGTTAATTTATGGGGTTTTTATGGGAAAATAACATATTTGACTATAACTTTTGAACCGTAATTTTTACAGATATGGGATTTGTACCATTTTATTCAGAATTTAAAGGGCTACAACATACTAAATTTTTATCAAAATCGTTCGGGCCATTTTCGAGAAAATCCGATTTTTCCGGTTTTTTATGGGTTTTTATGGGAAAATTCCCATTAAAAATAAAAATTTCAAAAAAATGAAAAAAACGCCTGGAGATACCATGGATTAGAACCTACATACCAAATTTCATCGAAATCGGACTACAGGTGTGGTCTCTAGCTCTGTACACATCCAGACACACAGACACACACACACGTCTTTGTATGAGGACCCCCCTAGTTCAGGACGTGTGTGCACACAAACCCGTAACGGCAGCAGCGAGGACTTGGCGCGCATTTATCACTCTACCGAGGACTTCAACTTTCATCCATCGGTTTAGCTACGGATAAAATATAAATTCGCCATGTTCTATATATTTTTGTAATCTCCTCCATTACCTTATCACTGTAAAAAAAAATCTAATCTCTACACCTAACTTTCAAAACTTGTTATTTATTGCACGCTAGCGAGGACCTGTAAACCCTGGATACAACAATCGAGATCTCAGGCGGACTGCCAAAAAACGTGCGCTACCGAGGACCTTACGCTAAGTCCTCGGTCTCGCCGTTGGGAGTTCGTGTGACCCACGAACTCACATTTTGACTACTGAGGACGTTAATACGAGACCTCAGTAGCAGCGTGCATAGTTTGTATATTCTACACACTCAGGTGGTCATAAGTGAGGACCAAAGTATGGTGTATAAGACTACGCTAGTGAGGTCTTGAAGCACATCAGATATACCGTGGTCATGGTCGTTAAACTACTGATATACCATATACAGTATTAGATGGTTTGTTATGACCATATGTTATGATTTTATTGTTTACATTTTCCTTGGTAATTCGTATAACTGTCATTACAGTTGAATTTCTTTTTTAGCTAGAAGCGGTTAAGGTATGGTGGACTAGCTTTGACAATGAACTTCTTTATCTGCAGTGCGATCATACATATCACATTTGAGGTTACAAACAAACATAATGGCATATTATATTTTCTATTAGTGGCCGTGTTGTATTATATATACGTCTTCAAACTGCCCTCGGGATCCACCCCAGTTGCTCTGGGGTTTCCCATGTTAACCTTATGAGTAATCATATTTGAAAGGAATTAAAGAATTTTTTCAGTTGTTTTGACTACACAAGTTGGTTTTATGATATTCAATAGCATCACAAACTAATGCGAAAAGGGCAGTTATGAGGACTTAACTTTTTTCTATTGTTTAGGTGCAGTAAGTAGTAGAACACTAATAATTTATATCTATGGTAGAGGTTCTATACTATGGCATACAGTAAGTTTAAAGAACGAATCCGTGTCCTTTCCCAATTTAAACGCAAAGCACGAGTATAACTGCAATAAGCATTCCATACTTATACGCCAATTTCGTACGAAGGCAAGTACTCAGCTAGTATTTCATAAGAAGAGTAGAAAGTGAGTCATTACATGTTTGAGACCACATGATTTATCGAGCACTTTGACTATGGTTGAGAATGTAATGACCCACTTTCAAGTGTTACTTTTTGCTACACTATATAAAGCCTAATAATTTGTTAAATTAATAAAAATAGACATTGGAATATTTCTTGACTAAGGTTAGGAACACGTTAAAACTAATACAAAAGAGTACCTCATTGATTGTACAGGTTTGGTTGTTGCAAATTGAAACAGTTGAACAAATTTACAACGTAAAATGTTGTTGGATTAGTAAACAATGTAATGAAGAATTTTCGCAGGTGATCAACATGAAAACAGGTGATTTCACAGTAATGTAGCGAAAAAGTATTGTTTACTATCTTTTTCCCACATAAACAAACAAACATTTGTTATAGTTTTATAAAAATTTTCAAATCACATCAACAAAAACTGTACAATCAATATAAATTTGATCTTTATATAGAGGACATAACCTAAAAAATGTATTAGTTTTGAAGTTTTTACTATAATAATTAAATAGTCCAATGTCTGTTTTTTACTCTAGCATTCTATGACCAAAATGTAACACTAATCAACAGATGCTAGTCCCACATGTTTGGGAGCTTGCTTATCGCATAGATAAGATGGATCTGAGAGGCCCAAGGCATTTGCTTCAACGATTGCTCGCCTCTAGTTGTTTTGTTTTAATAAAAGATCACATTCTTAATGACTTAATGAACTTAATGAACTCATATTATTGAACATGTAAAGTATGAAAACCAAACAGTAAACTCTATATACAGTGTATAAAGCTTACAAGGATCTGAACTTAAAAACCGTAAGCCGCAAACCTATCAACCGCATACTTGAATAAAAGGTGTTCATAAAAATGAAACTTCCCCTCAAATTATCAGTTTTTCGATAAACCCTCTTCTAAGGCAGATACTTTGAATGAAGGTTTGTTTTTTATAACATCTAAAATATTGAATGTTAGTCAGCTGATCATTTTAGTACAATAAAAATCGGTTTTGAACCCAAAATAATTATCACAAGCAAGGAATTTGGTACATATGTTGGGTGTACCTTCCTTTTGAACATACTAAATAAAAGTCCCCTAAAATTGAAGCTGTGCTACAGCCTCCATATTGGAAAATAGCGTCATATTTCTGTACTTTTGGCTATAGCGACTTTATTATTAGACATACAGGAAAAATCTAAATATACAAAATGTAGTCCGTCTAGAACTACACATTTTTGTTATTTATAATTTTTCTCCAAACACCACGGTTTTTGAGTTACGGTATTTGTGATTAAGTATATTTAGTTTTTTTTTTATTTATAAAAAATAGGTTAAGCCCGTGAAAATTTATGGTCATTATCAAGGTTACGACAGTTCATCCCATTTAGTTAAATAGTGTGAAACTATAAAATCTTAAAATTTAACTTTATATAATGAGTAAAACAACTCCACCACAACTAACCTGCAGACTCAGCAAATTTCAATTTTACTGATTGGATGTTTTATTAAATGTATACAAATAAAATTAGGTTTAATAAGTACAGGGTGGCGCAGATGGATTGGGTGGTTTTAAAATACTTGTCAAACTGTCAATTTTTAAGGTATTGGATTGAAATAAAGTGCAAAACGTGTAGTTACAATGGAAGTTTATTGACAAAAAATTTGATAAGTTAGTTTTTAAAAATTACATCCATCAAATGCCTTCGTTCTCGAGCGACGCATTCTTGGAGTAGGTCCTTGAGGTTCCGCATTGCTCGCTCAAGCACATCACCAGGAATTGATCTTGACTCCTGAAGCAAGGGTCTACATGAACAAACCCCGGACCATTCAGGAGTTGAAGGCTGCAATTCACAACGAAATCACATCAATTCCTGGTGATGTGCTTTAGCGAGCAATGCGGAACCTCAAGGACCTACTCCAAGAATGCGTCGCTCGAGAACGTAGGCATTTGATGGATGTAATTTTTAAAAACTAACTTAACTAATATTTTGTCAGTAAACTTCCATTGTAACTACACGTTTTGCACTTTATTTCAATACAATAGCTTTAAAATTGACAGTTTGACAAGTATTTTAAAACCACCCAATCCATCTGCGCCACCCTGTACCTAGGTTTGCTGCTACAGGGAGGGTAATATAGTGTGTTTTTTAGTAAAATATCAATATGCAATGTAGTCCATCCAAAAATACACATTTTTTGTACAGTATTTATAATTTTTCTCTAAACCCAACAGTTGTTGAGTTATTTGCCATTAGGCAGTATAGTTAGTTTGTTTATTTATAAAAAATCTGCGAAACCCATCGAAATTGCCGTTTATTTCCAAGGTTTACGACAGTAATTCATCCTACTCAGTTAAACAGAGTGATATCATGGATAAAACATTCTCCCATAGATATTTTATCCTTGTGGATCAGCCAAAGTATTTTGGTGTTAGTTCAGTCTGGTGGACTGTAGGTAGAGGTAGTGTTTTGTTTACAAATAGTTTATAGTTATTTCAGTCATTGAAAACCTCGTTAAACCAAATAAAACGATCCAATCGTAAACAATAACTCTTAC